AGAAGAAGGGAAAGAGGAAAGGATAGGAAAGGAAAGGATAGAATAGGGAAAGGATAGGATAAGGAATAAGGATAGATTAGGGAAAGGATAGCATAGTTTAGAATGGGGGAGAGGGGAAGAAATGGGATGGTATGGGATAGGATAGAGCTGGAAGGGACCTTGGAGGTCTTCTAGTCCAGCCCCCTGCTCAAGCAGGAGAACCTAAACCATTTCAGACAAGTGACTGGCTAGACTCTTAAAAATCTCCAGTGATGGAGCGCCCACGATTTCTGGTGGCAAGCTGTTCCACGGGTTAATTGTCCTCACTGTTAGGAAGTTTCTCCTTAATTCCAGGTTGCTTCGCTCCTTGATCAGTTTCCATCCATTGTTTCTTCTCCTGCCTTCCGGTGTTTTGGAGACTAATTTGACCCCCCCACCCCCCTTCCTCTTTGTGGCAGCCCCTCAAATGCTGGAACATCTTGTCGCCCCTAATTCTTTTTTTTTTCTTTCGACCAGCCAGACCCAAAACCTGCAGCCGTTCTTCCCATGGTTTAGTCTCCATGTTTTGCCTTGATCCCTGAAATGTATGGGTATCGAGTTACAACCGTTCAAATAGTGACGGCGGCACTGAAAAAAAAGTAACGTAGGGTTGTTGGTCACGCCTGTAACCGTTGCAGCATCATCGCCGTGGTCACGTGAACCAACTTTGGGAGGCTTGGCAATTGGCTCCTGCTTATGACAGTTGCAGTGTTGTGTGTGTGTGTGCGTGCTTGTGTGTGTGTGTGATCCCCTTTCACAACCTTCTGATGAATAAAGCCACAACTGATGAGTTGTGAGTTCAGTGGGGAAGCCAGATTTGATGGAACGACCGTGTTGCTACGTAATTTAACAACTGCAGTGGTTCACTTAACATCTGGGGAAAGAAATGTTTTAAAATGGGACAAAACTTGTTGCTTCTTCTTTTTTTGGGGGGGGGGGGGGACGACGACGACACCTGGGCTTTTACCAAGAGAGAAGCTTTTCTCCAAAGCAACTTAAATAATAAAACTTCCTTGCTGGCAAATGTCTCTCACTTGAACAGAAATGTTGGCCTCGATTGTGGTTGTACGTTGAGGACTATCTGTAATTTTTAAAGTTTTATTGCAAGTTCTAGGTCAGTTCTAGGTCAGGGGTTGGCAACCTTGAACACTCAAGGAGCCACAAAGGTCCTAACTGGAAACCCCCTGTCCAATTCTGGAGCCGGAAGTCCAGTTCCCCTACCATAGAGTCTCCTAGCGCGGCTTCCTTTTTCCTCTGCCGACTGGACGTCCGGTTCCCCCATCATAGAGTCTCATCCTAACGCAGCTTCCTTTTTCCTCTACCTGTCCTAACCAAAAGCCCTATCAATTGTGAAGCCGATCGGCGATAGGGAGCCGCAGCAGAGAGATGAAAGAGCCACACGTGGCTCCAGAGCCACGGGTTGCTGACCCCTGTCATGCCCCCGTCAGAGTCTGAATCAGAGGAGGAAGACGAACAGCTGACAGGGAGTGGGAGTGTGGCTCCCCTTGGCTGTGGAGGAAACTGGGGAGGGGCACAGGCCAGCTAGGCAGAGCAAAGGAGAGGTAGATCAAGGGAGAGAGAGTTCAGAGGAAGACCCAGGCCCACCCCCTCTTCATCCTAGGGCACACAGGGAGGAACTGAGAAGAGGCACAACGTGGGTTACGTGGCTTATGGGGGAGGAAAGGGCCCTGATTCCCTTCATTAGCCACACCTGGGAATGAGAGTTTAAAAGAGATGCATGCTGAGTGAGGCATCTGCTGGAAACAAACATGAGTTTATCTTGTGTTGACTTTGGTTATCTGCGTTTCTGGCATCCTCCCAACTGTGTTGAATTACAGCCGTTCCTTCACATCTGGAATTCCTTCTCCTGCCCTGCCAAACTTAATTTCCTCATTTTGCCTTGATTGCACTTATAGTTACAGTTTTTGTTGACCATGTTTTGGACTTGATTCTCTGCAGCCAAAGGCTGTTCCTGGGAGAGTTTTTCTCCAGCTCAGAAGGTAACCAGGACATTGGGGGCAAAGTTGGAGCTAATAAAGGGACTCCTACTGATTGCCTGACTGTGTTGCCTTTGTGCCACGCCCCTTTGGGTCATCACAACCCCTGTTCTAGGTTCAGGACTCCCCACTTGCCGGACGCCCATGGGTTCTCTCTTTGTAACTCCTGGAATAGTGGATCCTGCCTTTTTTTTTTCCCCCTCCTCCTTGGTGAAGGTATCTCATAAAATATTTTTTTCCTCCACTGACAGATCTCAGTACAGAAGAGAAGTTGAAACGTCTGGAGGAAGACAAGATCTGCAAGATCTGCATGGATAAGCTTCTCTCCGTGGTCTTCATTCCTTGCGGACACCTGGCTTGCCAAGAGTGCGCCAAGGTGGTGGAGAAGTGTCCCTGGTGTTGTAAGATCATTGCAAACCGGCAGAAGATCTTCATGCCCTAATTGGGGGGGCTCCGGCGGCGAGAGATTCCATGAAAACAAAAACAACCACCCCCTCCCAGCCCCCGCAAAAAAAAATAATCCAAAAGCTAACCCAGATTGGCAGGGGTGACCTCCGAAATGGATTTAGCGAGAGTCGGCTAATTTAATTGGACGGGCACCGGGTTGCATGGTGGGATGAATCGGCGAGAGAGAGTGAGTGTGGATCGGATTATTTCCATCCTACGGTTTTAATCAGAGGTGCTTTTTCCATCGGGGCAGGGATCTTTTCGGTATTTCGTCATGTTTTCGGTGGGTGGAGAGATATATCTTGCAACTTTGGGGGGTTCTTGGTGTATTTTTGGAGGGGTTTCCCCCCCCCCTTCCGTTCTTGTAGACTTCATAACCGAACAACCTGCAAAAGTGCACCAAGAAATGAACAGGGTTGGTCACCTCTTTTGTCCACTTTACGACCTGTGGACTTCAAACTCCCAGCGTTCTCGGCTGAGGCATTCTGGGAGTTGAAGTCCACAGGTCGTTGTCATCTGTATTGTCCGAATAGTCCCCCACCCCACCCCCAAGGCCCTTTCTCAACCTTCAGATTGTCAGAATGGCTGAACTTGCTCCGGACTGCCCGTCTGAAAGTTGCGTTCTTTTTAATTGTGTTAGCGTGCAATGCCAGCAACTTTCTGCCTATCCCTGTTGAAGTCTGAAGCGGTATAAGCCAGACGCGCAAAGGCCAACACAAAAGGCTGAATGGAAAAGGGCGTGAAGAATTATCGTAGAAAACAAAGAGAAGAGGTGGTGGACCTTGTACGTCTCTTGATTTTTCCATCCGTTCAAAGGATGGAAAAGCAGCAACAATCGCTCTGTTTTACAAACCCAATCCCTTTTCCTTGAGTCTGTCTCTTGTCGTAGGGGCTTTTTCGCTGACCTGACTGACAGTTGTGGAAAAGAGGGGAGAACCTCTTGATACCCCTTTTGTATCCCAGTTCAAAGGCTTGCCTGTGTTCTAGCAAGTCCTCCATAGGTGGAGTAACTGGAATTGCAGAAACTTAGGATAAAAACCTGACTTTTAAGTTTTCCCATTTCAGTTTGCATAAAGGCATCGTAACAGAGGCTTTGGGATCCGGGTGTCAACGGCAAAGTTTGTGCAGTGAGCAGCACATCGGTTGGGATAAGTTGGTGGCGTGCCCGTAGATTCGTGCGATAGATGAAGCAGAGTTTTGCAGGTGGTTTTTTTTTTTTAATTTAATCATTTATGGGTAGAAGTGAGCTGCTATTCTGGGATACCAGGTTCTCCCCTGAAGTAAAGGATGCATCAGGTAGCTTGTTGATATTGGTGGCTTTGAGAGAACACTGGAAGGAATACCCGGGAAATGGATGCCATCCTTTCATTCAGAAGTTGAGTGGCAGATTATCCGTGTTTCCCCCTTGCACTAGATACTATATTAGGTGGCAAAACATAAACTGAATGTAATATTAATTGATTTCAACCTCAGTTGCCTCTTTAGGGAGGAAAGAGTGAGGACCGGCTAATAACTTTGCAATTCCAGGAGAATAAATGGGATGTTCAGTTTTTAATTTTACTTCTTTGCCTTCCTGAAATGGCTTATAGGGATTGCTAGGATGCAAAAAAAAATCCCTCAAGCACCCAGGATAATAAATCCCCTTTTGAGATTTAAAATAGTCCTCTTCCTCGTTTTGTGCTTCCCGATGCTTTCCTAAGTGATAAAACCCCTATTTTGTTACTCCTATCTTGCTAAAACGATCTAGCTGTTTTACCTTATTTTTTTTTCCTTTTTAAAAACAACCGCTGCATTTTTATTTATTGACATATTTATTTGAAAACTTGTTTAAAAAAAGAAGAAGAAAAAAAAACCACTTTCGTGGCACAAACCGGCTTTAAACAGGTGTGCACAACACGGAGCACTGGGGGTAGAAGACCTCTCTTTTGTAGAGTTGTGGTTGCATTTCCTGGGAAGGAAGCTGGACTGTTTTTGAGTTTGTTGAACACTACAGTGGCAGTTCAGCTCAAAGGGGGGGTGGACTTACAACTTCTGCTGACACTTTATGGCGATTGCACGGGGAGGAAACCAGAAACTGACAGTTTGAACTTCAATAAGAATGCTGCTAAAAAAAATCACACACACAACTTCCTTTCCATCTAGCCAGGCCAGATAGCTTTCAGGAAGCGGGACCTTTAAACTCCTGGATGGCTGCCAATTAAAAAAAAGTGTTAAATTTGGTTTTCGAGCAACGTTCCCTGATCTGCCCCACTTATTTCACGCTTATTTTTTTATAAGTGGCATTGTTTGAAGCGACACAGCTCGTCCTCCTGTGGCCAGATCTGAACTCAAAAAAAAAAAAAAAAAAAAGAACCCCACTTGTTAAAACATGGCAAAGGGTTGTGTTGGGGTGGGAGTCATTGTTGTTCCCCTGACATCTTTGTGGGTTTCGTTTTAAACCTTTTGTTTCACGTAGAGAATAGCAAGAACTTGTTTTACATGGAAATCTATCTGGGGTACTTTTCTTCACGACAGTCGATTTATTTTTTTTCACCCTTTTAAAAAAAAATTCACGAACGCATCGGGGGGAGGGGGGATTTTACAAGCTATGCATAAGTTGCGTGTCAATCCACGCTGAAACGCGGAATTGAGTTGTGTGTAAAGGATGGCCTGAGTTGTAAATAACTGTTGATTATATAATGAAATTGTTGACTTTGAGAAGCTATATTCCAACGTGTTAAGAAAGATTTATTTTTTTAGACGTACTACAATGACTTAATATAATCATAGAATTGTTTTTGCAGTTAAACTCAAGTGACTATTTTTAATAAAGTGATTTATTATTTTATATTCTGTATGATGGGTTTTTTTTTTCTTTTTACTTAGACACAAGACCAGTTAAAATGCTTGAGCCCTGTCTCTATCATTCTTATTTTTCCATCTTTCTCAAGGATCTAAGTTTCCATTTTTCTCCAGTGTTTAATTCATATATTATGCTAACCTATGGTTTATTGGAGCTAATTCAGTTAGATAGCTGAATCATAATTAATCAGAATAGAGCTGGAAAGGATTTTGGAGTTTTATTTCAGGCAAATGGCTGTCCAGTGTCTTCTTCAGTCTGCTGTGATGAAGCACCTACAACTTTTGGAGGCAACTTCTGTTCCACTGGTTGATTGTCCTCACTGTTTGGAAGTTTCTCCTTATTCCAGGTTGCTTCTCCTTGATTAGTTTCTATCCATTGTTTCTTCCCTTCCCTTCCTGTGCTTTGATAAATAATTTGATCCCTTCTTCTTTGTGGCCACTTCATAATCATAGCCATACTCATATACATATACATACATACATACATACATACATACGTACATACATACGTACGTGCATATGTAATCATAGCCACGACATAATCTTAACAGTATATAGCAGAGGTCTTCAAACTTGACCGCTTTAAGACTTGTGGACTTCAACTCCCAGAATTCTTCCTCTAGTCATGTTAGCTCAGGAATTCTGGGAGTTGAAGTCCACAATTCTTAAACTTGTCAAGTTTGAAGACCCTTGCTCTATTCTATCTATCTATCTATCTATCTATCTATCTATCTATCTATCTATCTATCTATCTATCTAATCTCTTTCTATATATTCTACCTCTCTTTATTCTATCTATCTTGACAGTTTTAAGACTTGTGGACTTCAGCTCCCAGAATTCCTCCTCCAGTCATGTTAGCTCAGGAATTCTGGGAGTTATAGTCCACAATTCTTAAACTTGTCAAGTTTGAAGACCTTGGTATATAGTATATAGCGTGAAGGAATTCTCTCCCAGTGGAGAGAACTGGAACCTTTAAGAGGAGACTAGACAGTCACTTGTTTGGAATGGTATAGCATGAGCAAGGGGTTGGACTAGAAGACCTCCGAAGTCCCTTCCAACTCTGTTACTCCAATGATAATCAGTTATGAACAGTATTGTAGAGGTAATGCACAGATCTTGCTTTCTAGCTTATTGTGAAAAGCACGACAAAGCTTCCTTAATGCTCATGGACGGCACGTAGAATTACTGATCGCATCAGCAATGAGGTGTCTACATTCAGGAATTCAGCTCACTTACGGGATGTTTGATAGTGTCACTGTATGATGGCTGCAAGTGGATTTATCTGCCCGAAATAAAGGCCTTTTGAGTCATCATTTAAATGACTCCCCCCTCCCAAAAAAGATATAGCTGGAGATCAAATTATGCCCATTACCCAATTCGGGAGCTCAACAGGCAACGTTGCTTTTAACTAGCTCTGAATCATGTCCGGTCGGCATAATTGCAGAGTTTGAGAACTCGGAAGCTGTAGTACATCCAATGTGCCGCTTCCTTTTTGGGAGCGCAGCCGTTCGATACAAATGCCTTTGATGAATTCTGTTGCAATAGCCGACCTAATGCTTCCAGCAGCGGAATAAAATGCTGTGATAAAGGAAAACCATCACCAGGGATGGAAAAGAGCAGGAGGATTGTGTTGAGTTTCAATTGGATTGGGAGGATGCCAGAAACACACATAACCAAAGTCAACACAAGATAAACTCACGTTTGTTCCCGGCAGCTGCCGCACTCAGCATGCATCTCTTTTAAACACTGTTCCCAGCTGCAGCTAATGAAGGGAATCAGGGCCCTTTCCTCCCCCATAAGCCATGTAACCCACATTGCTCTCCTCCATTCCTCCCTGTGTGCCCTAGGATGAAGAGGGGGTGGGCCTGGGTCTTCCTCTGAACTTCCTCTCCCTTATTCTCTGTTTTCTCTGCTCTGCCCAGCCGGACTTTGCCCTTCCCCAGTTTCCTCCACAGCCAACGGAGCCACACTCCCACTCCCTGTGAGCTGTTCGTCTTCCTCCTTGGATTCAGACTCCGGGAGCATGATAGGTAGTCCTTGACTTACAGCAATTTGTTTAGTGACCGTTCAAAGTTCCAGCGGAAGTGAAACAAGGGACCGATAACCGTTTTTCACATTTACAGCCGTTGCTGCATCCCAATGGTCACCTGGTTTCCATTCAGATGCTTTGATGCCTGGTTCACATTTATGATGGTTGCAGTGTCCCAGGATCACATGATCCCCTTTTGTGACCATCGGACCAGCAAAGGAAAAGCAAAAGTTATGTAACGACAGTGTTACTCATCTAACAACTGCAAGTGATTCATTTTACACATGCGGCAAGAAAAATCGTGAAATGGGGCAAAACTCACTTAACAAATTTATCACTTAGCAACATAAATGTTGGGCTCATTGTAAGTCGAGGACTATCCAGTGATTAAATGGAAGATTTATGGTAACATCGTGCAAAGAGCTGCAGATGTCTGCAGATGTTTTGGACGATGGTTTCCATAATCCACTGACACTGAACTGGCAGAGGGTGATAGGAGTTATAGCCAAAAGCACATGAGGGAATCCAGATTGATCATGTCTGTTAAATGTTACCAGCATGTTGCACCTCTTAATTTGCATTGACTTTGAAGTGATTAATTGGTGGCTTTTATCATAATGCCTTCAAGCGCTCAGGGTGGGATGCATAAGTTTACCGACCTCCCTGTCCATTTTATCCTCACAACAATCCAGCAAGGTAGGCTTGAACAGGGGAACAAATGGCCAAAAGTCTGGGAGGAATCTGAACTTAGCATTCCTCTTAGCCAGGTCCTCCTGGGAACAATTGCGTATGTGCCACTAGCTTTTTTCTTTTGCTTTCTTTGATATATTTTTTTTAAATTGAGAAACAAAGCCCAGAATCTACAAAAATTGTGTTTTTTACAACACACAGGTCTTGAGGCCTCTGCTGTCAAAAAAAGAAGAGTTGCTTGAAAAAGATCAGATAGGAACAACTGGAGGGGGAGACAACATAAACTTCCAGATTAATAGTAGGAAAAGAGAGAAACTTTTGGTATCTGCCAGATTCTTGGTCATTAGATCAAGCAAAGAATGAAACAACCAATTGGTCACACTGGCACACAAGCCATTTATAAGCTAAGGAAAATAGGTCAAGAAAACCCTGCTGATGTTACCACCTAGTCTGCTGACGAAACATTCAGAAACGAAATTGAAACAAGCTTGAGCCTTCAAAATTTATTTATTTATTGAACTTATATTACCGCCTATTTTTATTTTTTTGTTTTAAATGTGGTTTTACATTGTGTAAGTTGCCTCAAGTCGTCATGGGCGAATAGGCAGCAATATTAAATAAATAAATAAATAAATATTCGCCTATGGCCACTCGAGGCGGCTTACAGAACGTAAAACCGTATTTAAAATAAAAAATAAAAACTAACAAAAAGAATCAAGTAAATTAATAAAATACAATAGAACAGAATCTGGGGGGGGGATGACGGCACTGAAAAAAAATGTATCTTCTGACTTGTTTTCATACTTAAAAGACTATTACAGCCTCCCTGATGTCACATGATCAAAATTGGGATGCTTGGAAACTGGCATGTACTTATGCTAGTTGCAATGTCCCGGGGATCACTTCCCCTTATGCAACCTTTTCCAATATTCAAAGTCAATGGGTGGAGAAGGCAGAATCATTGAACCATTGCTTGATTCGCTTAGTGACTGCAATGCTTCACTTAACAACTATGGCAAAAGTTCCTAATTAAGGTTGGGGGAATTCTGGGAATTGAAGTCCCACCAAGCTCCAAGGTTGGTTTTGATTGATTGCAAGCAGCTTGATTGCAGTTGCAGCCTCTTCCAAAGCCAAAAAAAAGCCCCCCCCTCCCCCACCTGGGACGCTACGTGCCGCTCAGCACCTCCTGCGAGCTCCAAGGCAGAACAGGCATGGGCGGGGCCCTGAAGGGCGATGACGTCACGGCGGTGAGGAAGGCGTGGCGATTCGAGTCAAGGGAGGAAAAAAGAGACAGCGCATGCGCGGCACCTTGTTTACCCCGTTTTCTCGGCCAGCCCGGACGGGAGCATCAAGTGGGCGCGCACGCTCTCTCACTCTCTTTTGCTCTCCCTCCCCCTCTCCTGCATTCCTGAGTCCTCCCAGCAGGTGCCGCTCTAGGCCCGCCCGAACGTGGCGGGCTCGGTGGCCGCCAGGTGGCGCCTGCGCCCTCCATTCCCTCGCCAGCCGCCGAGCTGCGAACACCCCAAACAATCCCCAGCGCCGCCGCCGCCGAATTGGATCCTCCGCCCGCCTCGCTGGCCTCCGTCGCCGCGCTCAAACCGGGAGAGACGACGACGACCCCCCTATCCCACGTCCTTCCCCTCAGAAGGCCTCGCTTCGGCCCTCCTCTTCCTCCTCCTCCTACGGCGGCCTGTTGGATTATTTCCCGCCGAGCGGCCCTCACTCCCTCACAGGCCTTGGGGAAGCGTCTGAGGTAAAAAAAAGACGACGACGAAGGAGGGAACCGGAGCGAGCGAGGGAGATCGCACGACGCCTCGTCTGGTTGGGGAAGAAAGCAAGGCCGGAAAGTCGACGACGACGACGACTGAGGCGCGGAAGGGCGGGGGGGGAAGGAAAAAGGCGCGCGGAGGAGCCCCAAGGCAGGCCCGGTCGGCCAGGCCTCCTTTCCTTCACCACCTCAGGCTACGCGGGGGTAAG